GTTTTTGTACCTATAACATGTTTTGGCTTTTATAATTTTTTGTATAAAATTCTTAAAGTTTTTCGTATTAGTGTTCAGAATTAGACTTTAAGGCTTGGAACATTTTATTTAAAACATCACACACCAATTAATTAGCCAGTTTTTGAGATAATTATACATAGGTGTAAAACACCAGAGGTGCGTTTTAGTAAAAAGGTTTATCAATGTTGTCCCTTTTTGTTTTCATCTGCTTCCGCACTCTTCAGAAATTCCTGAATAAAAGCTTCCTCTTCTGCAGAAGAAGCGTTGATCGGTGGAGAATCAGTAAGGGGATTAGGTCTTTTCGATTGGGCTCTTTTAACAGCAGCGTAGACACCGAGACCGATAGTTGACAATGTTGCGATCGCAAGCTATCAATGCATTCGAATATTAAGTAGTACGCATAAAAGTAATTGAGTTTGGTCACGAATATTATAAGAAAATAAGAAGCCGAAGCATTCGTTGAAGGTTAGATAATTCACTAATAAAAATATGGACTAATTAAATAATTCTAATCCAATAATATCTATGCCTTACGTATTCAGACCCGATTTTGCGACCAGCAATCATGTAAACTGCTCCTCCTCCCATTGCTAACGCAAGAAATGTGTGGAATGAAAGTTTAACTTATAATTTAAAAAAAAAAAAAAAAAAAAGCCCATTTATTCGTACGTCGTTGAAAATATAACTCAAAAGTGTATAAAATTTTTTAGCGTACATATTAAGATTTAAGCGAAACCTTTTTAAAATACGTACTGTACGTACGTACGTACGTATGTACACCAATATAATAATTTTTTTTTGACCTTTACTATTGGCGTGTCTCAAAATGGACATTGTAGTCCAGGGAAACGTAGCGATATTGCAGGTCAGTGATTTTTCGGATCTGCACGCTATATTAAATAATATAAAAAAAAAAATAGAATTCATTACGCCTTTAATTCCTCCCAACCTTTTTTAATTCTATAAAAGCAAAAAATGTTCAATGAAATGTCTTTATATCGTAACTGCGTTAGAATATTATGCTTATCGGGGGTGTATCTTATCATACAATTACAACATAATGTAGGCCACATGGTAAATCGTTGGTCTATTTTAATAATTAGCTTTCATCTTATACTATATAAAATAAAATAAATAGTGTTTATTACTTTAAAGTGCATGTTAAGAGGACTTGACAAATATAATTTTACTTTGTAATTTAAAAGTTTACTCGTTCAAGAGTTTTTAAAGTTTTTGTAAAAAAAAAAAAACTTCCGGCCAACGATTTACTATGTAGCCTGTATTATGTTTGACAGGACACCGATAAGCATCATATATGTTAATTAGTAAGATATTCTAACGTTGTTACTATGTAAAGACATCTTTCATTGAACATTTTTTGCTTTTATAGAATTAAAAAATGTTAAATATTGCGGGATAAATTAAAGGCGTAATAAATTCTATTTTTTTTTTTATAATTACAGTATACCGAACATATCCTTGGAGGTTTTGTATACAGTAGAGTAGGGTTCGTTATTCAGTTTCGGTATATCAATGAAATCTCCCAACGCCTTCGGAAATTATCGGAACTTCGCTCGAAAATTTGCTCCCGTTCGGAATATATTATCGTCATATACAAATACCGTAGTTCGTTATATCGAAATATGTGTATTTAGTCCTAGGCTGGTAAAGAAGAGTTCGGATGCGGTATATAAACATTTACTATACAAATTCGGTATAACCAGCCTAAATTTTTATAAAAAATTGGTTCAGATCTGGTTCGTTATATCATGCCTGGCACTAATGCTTGCGAGGTTGCCCGTGCCATGGGAACAAAAGTTTTAGGCATTTATAGGCACACATGTAATGTTTTAGGCACCTTTGGAGCAGGCACTTTGTGTCCTAGTGCCTGATAGTTTAGGATCGATTTTTCATACTTATAATACAGAGTGCCCAGCATGTGCCAAATACAAAAGTGCCCACTAACTTTATCTTTGCATCTGTGTCTATGACATGCCTCTGCCTTTTGTTAGGCATGGTACCTGCAGATCCCTAGTTATCATTATAACCCGAGTTTGGTATAAGCAGTTTGGCATATCCAGAGTCGACTGTATTTGATATAGCGTACAGATCCGAAAAATTTATTACGTATAAAAATCTTAATTAGTAATTGGACTGATGTGAGACACCTTAATATTTTATGCCTGCTGCAGTCTTTAAGTGTCGCGCGCACGGTATAAAATTTAAAATAAAATCGCATGAGCGCCCAAGAATGTTTAAAACGAAGTATTATATAGATAGTAAATAAGGCCATACAAATTAATTTCATGATTTTCATAACTTGAAATTTTTAAGTGGACCCGGCCGGCCGGTTTTTTTTAAAAAAATTTTATATATCGATATAAAAATTTTTTAGAATATTAATTACGATTATAAATTAGAAACTTTTAAAATTCTTTGATATTACTGTATTAATCAATCTACATGAGAATTTCCAAATTTCCAAATTGGCATTTTTCTAGATCAGTTCTCAAATGAATTTTTATTAATAACCATTTTTGACTTCAGATTACTACGTAGTATATACAGTATTTGCTCATATAAATAATTCGTATAACATCAGTTTCGGAATTTATCAGGCCAGTTTTTTATATGATTTCTTTATCAATTGTTAAATAATTTAATGACTCTTGTAGCTCAAGTGAAAGTTTCTTTCAATGCCAATAACTATTTTTTTACTCAAGAACATAATATCGCATATAAATTTATATACATGCTCATATTTACCACGAGAAAAGATTTTGTTCGTAAATTCGTGAAACACAAGGTTGGAAAAAAGCAATTCGAGTATTCGAGTTCAGTTATTGTAATCAAGATAAACAATAGACATATACAAATTACAGGTTTAAGATAATAATCATGAAACTATAAATTAACAAAGAGGTAGTGTAAACATTTGTAAAATGTTGAGAACGTATGCAAATAAATTAACTTTACCATTAGTAATATTTGAGAGAGCTTTTCTTTGATCATGAGTTTCACGTTTAGTATTTGTTGCTTTTCTGCGTCTTTTTTGTTTTGGAGTTTTTTGTTGTCCAGTATCTTCAAACGAATAAGAAGAATAGGTAAACGGATCACCTTTTCGTAATTTACTGTATGTATAAAATCCAACAAAAAAGAAAAAAAAAAATTTAGTTCACCAGATTATCATTAAATCAAATTTGATTCACCAACCTGCGAAGGCTTGGTTCTGCGTAATTTACATTCTGGTGACTCCTCCGCGGACGAATGCCACCTCTTTCTTCGTCAATTGGAATATCTATATTAAAAAAGGAAATAGTAAAAACTAGGTAAAGCATAACATTAAGTGTCCGGTGCTTTATGTGACTGATTATCGGGTAATTAACCAATCATAACTACAGAAGCGAACAGGCTTAAGCACGTGACATTATTGATCATTTAACGTCGTAAAAACAGTGCCCTCCGCTTCGCTCCGGACAATAAGAATGTTATTAATACTAATACCGATATCTTTAGGATTTCTTTTCGAACGTGACTTGCAGGGTGACACTTGTTCCTCTGATTTTAATGTAGTGCTCATTTTTTGACATGCGGGTAAATCAATTGATTTATTTGTAGATTTACTTAGTGGTGGAGAAGCTGTTAAAGGTCGATTTATTGTGCTGATAGGGATTCTAGATATTGTTTGTTGAGATTTGTGATCAAATGTAGACAAGGATTCATCTTCATTCGGTAAATCTTCTTCACATGAATCCGACGAATATACATCGCGTTTTCTGTAATTAAAGAATAAGTAAATAGACCATGAAGTTTATATACAAGTATATCATAATGTATTCTTACGGTGATGAGAAAAGACTTTCTTCGCTTATCGGCTGTAATACTTTTGGTTGCATTCTATAGATTGTGAGCTAAAAATTCAATATAATACGATAAATTACTATTATGTATATGTATGCACGACAATTTAGTGCAAATTACCATGTTAGGAGGTTTTCTTTTATCAGGAAGTTTCTCCAGAGCGATATCAATTTCTGGAGTGTTATTTGTTGTATATTGATAACTTCCTTCTGCGGTGCCATAATTATTGATATCTTGGTCGAGAATTGAGTCTTTGGAAAAAGACATATATAACCAGTATATTAATATCAGATAAAAGTATTTGCATAAATGTATGTGAGAGAAGAGAAATGTACCATCAGAACTAAAACTTAAGTTCGCACGAATAGAATTTTTATTAGAATCCGATTCCATTAACGCGTTTAAAGTATTAGCAGCTCCGCGAAGTTGTTGAATTAAATCATTTATTTGTCCACTTGTAGACTGTAATATGAAACATTGTGCTTGAAAATATCATGATTTTCAAAGAAATTAACTCTTTGTTATCGATATGTAAATTTTTCATACCATAACATTGTCTTTAAATGTTTCATTCTTGATATTCTTTTCATTTTTCAATTTTTTAATCTGGTCATTTAATCTTGCAATTGTTGCCCTTAATTCAATATTTTCAACTGAAAGTTTTGAAATTTGAACTTCTGCTTTTCGTAATTGTAAAGCATATAATGTATTGGACCTATTATATTTATTAAAGAAAACTAGGTGATATCCAAGCGTATTTATGAGTTACATTGTTTTTTCTTTAAGTTCTTACTTTATTATAGCACGATTTTGTTTTATATGTTTTCTTTTAACTATTCATTTCAAGCAATAGATTTTTAACAAGATTTTAATAAGAATATGAAATATTTTCGCTACGATCAAAATTTATGAACTGAATACATTAAATACTAACATGAATCTAAAGTTTCCATCTTTACCACATGTAAAAAGGATTTGCAGAAAGGATTGACGAGATAAATTTATTTATATTTACTAATTTGATTAAATATATTTCAATCTCCACTAGATTAATCAGTGCATACGCGAGTATGTACGTACGTGCATACGTAAGTACATTTAATGAACTTACATTTAAATCCATCTGTCAATGGTTATTTCGTGACCATACTGATACGGCGTAGACATATATTTATTAACTAATACATTAATTATATACGTATCATTATTACAGACAATATATTACTTCATACGTACAGTGTTTTATATACGTACGTATTTACACTTATTATAAATCGCACCAGTGGTATTGAACACCATATAATTTTTTTTATTATAATTTTTACATACTTAAAGTTAGGATTAAATTTTAGGCTTATAGACTAAAAGCTAAAAATAAATTTGAAGTAAGGTTTTTTGGAATGCTGAACATTTTTACTTAATACATCCGGACTTTGTTATTTAGACAGTTTTGAGATATAGCAATTGTGGCGTTAAACATAGGTGGAATAGGACTTTTGGGCATGCCCCTATCATGAAGAACCATCATGAATATGATTGGTCGATATTAGAAATGAAATTTACAAAGTTACAGGATACTAGTATCACTACCAAAATTTAATCTAATCTAAGCTTGAAATATACAAGTTTTTATTTATTTTATTTTTTTTAAATATAAATCATAATTTGAATTCAATGTCTAGTTCAAAATTTTTAATACTTAATAAATTTTAAAATTATATATATATATTGTGGTTTATAGATCAAAGTTAAAAAATGAATATTTTTAAAATATATATAAAATTTTTAAAATAAAATAAAATAGTTTTTTAAAACACGTGAAAACTCTTAGACCTATTACTAACAAGCATCGTGATTAAACACCATTGGTATAATTTGACGATGCCGTTTTTTTTATATATAAAAATTTTAAACCAAATTTTCTGTTCGATTTCCTAATTTAGTAATTTTAACATATGCATCAACACCATAACCATCCAAGCTATATAGGTTTAAACCACCACCCCAATATTCAGCATAAACTTTACTCATTGGTAAACCAATACCAAGACCTAAATCAGGAGGTATAATATGTCTTTCATATTCTTCTAATGTAGCAGCCATTTGTGGTACTTTTGAGAAATTTGTAAATTTGTGTAAAATTTTTTGATCATTACTTTTTCGTGCAAATGACCAAATATAAGGATATACTTTATCAGGTATACCACCACCTTGGTCTGATACACGGAAATATAAATCCGTTGGACCAGAACATATTGTTACAGTGATGGGTGGGAAAAGTTGGGAAGATTCGAGCATTTGTTTTGATGGGGATTGAGAAGTTGATAATATTGAGGGTGCATGTTTCTCGATTACACCTTTTACAGAATTCATTAATAATTCATGGATGATATATTCTATATGATCTGGTATGTAAGCAAAAGTAGTATCCACTTGACCATCGACAAGAATCTGTGGTGGTTCAACATCATAATAAGTTTTATAAAAGTTTCTTGTCATTTTAGCACATTTTTCCACAATTTCATTAGCCTTACAATGAGTTGATATGACACCAATCCATCCATCATTCTCACTTTGATCATAAGCATATCCGGGATCGTGCCAATTTTCAGTTAAAGCAATTTGTTGTTCAGCTAAAACTCTTCTTGAAATACGTGATCTCAACATTGTATTCATAAATCGATCTATTTGTTCTCCAGATAAATGTTCCGAACATTCCATTATACCCATTGCTAATTGAGGAATTACTACTAAATGATCTTTTAACAAGCCTTTTATAGTTTCACACCATTCATTATTTTCTTCAATAGTTCTTATAGGAGGAATTTTTCTTAATTTTTCAAATGCAAACCAATATAAATCATAAACCCTAGCAAGATGGGGATTTGTTCCCACGATAAAAGGTAAATTTTGGAAATCTCTTATTCTATGAGCTATTCGTACTGGAAGTTCACTTCTCACATAATTTCCACTTTTAATAATTCTTTCTTCGGTCAGATTACGACCAAATACTATAAGTTGTCTAAGAGTAATTGGGTTGACAGATTGAGATGCATATTGATCAAGAATTCGATTTTGATAAAAATGTTGTGGAGAATAAGCTCTGTATTGTCCAGTAGATTTTATAGATATTTGAGGGGGAGATGGTGTAGTAGTAGAAGAATTAACAGTATTAGGTGGAGGTGGTGCTACATGATTTGGCGAAATGGTACGAAAGTTAGGATTCAAAGAAGTATATTGTATCGGTTCAGCTTTGGGTGATGTGGTAGTTGAAAATGATAATTCCCCACTTAAACCACCTCTAGAGTTCTGAAGGAATATTGTAAAGGATCGAGAAACTTTTGAAAAACTCGTTTGCGAACGAGAATTCAAATTATGAGTTAATGATAACATTTGACCTAACTAAAAATAATAAAATAATCAATTAATGAAAAAAAAATTTTTTTGATCATCAGGGAATTTATATAAAAAAATAGATGGACTATTTATTCCGATTATTCCGACCAAAACCGAGTAATATCCATATTAAGCCCATCATGCTTTGCTTTTCTATTTCAGGCAGTATTTCTCGATGAATCATTATGAATATAACAAGAAAATGAGGTTAGATTACTTGTAATTGCAGTCGATTTATTCTATAAATGTGGTAAAGAATCATTTTTAAATACAGATATAATATGCATTTATGAAAAAATAGTGATGTTTTTTTTTTGTTTTTTTTTTTGTGTTTTTTTTTTCTCTTTAGTTATTAATCGGTTAAACCGGTTAAAAAAAAAAATTAT